CAAACGCATCTCCAAAAACATCACAAGCATCAAAATCAGGCCCATAGAGCACGAGTCAGTTAAAATTAGAAAAAGAGACACTGTTAGCTTTTGAAAAACATCCCAACTTGCCTGTTTTGCTCCTATTTTCATGACCCAGGACCCGCCCCCATAACCAGCACCCCTTCTGCCTGCCAGCGCAGCTGGGGCTGCAGGGTCCTCAGGCCAAGGCTGGCCCGAGAGTGGGCTCCCGGCTCGAGAGCCCATGGACAGTGGCCTCGGTCAGCTCCAGAGGGTGACAAACACTGACTTCTGAAACGGGGACCGCCACGTGGACAGGGCAGGACGGTGGGCCCAGGGACATCGGGTGGCTGCGAAGGACAGGGGGGCAGCTCAGGGGCACTAGGCGGGCGGGTCACTCATGGCCAGTGTCAGTCAGCAGCGGTTGTCTTCTGCCCACAGGGATGGCGAGGTCCTGTAGGGACCAGGGAGGACACAGCTCAGCCAGACACCGCGAGCTGGGGCTGTGGGGCGCGTGTGCTCTGCCCTCGCCTTCCCCCCCGGAGCCACTGCCCCCCAGTAAGTCACTCGCCCTCGCCTGCTGCCCACACACGAGAAGGGAAGACATCCGGGATGGGCAGGCAGCTATTCCTTCAAGAGTTTAAACGGTCACCTTGACAAACACCTAACTGCAGTTCCGGTTTCCACCGGGCGGGTCAATCCAGTCCCTGACTGACAGTGATGTCATTTCCACTGTGACAGAAACGTGGGGCAGAACCAGGTTGTGGGTGGGGAGTCGGGTCCTGCTGTGCCCACTGAGAGTGCAGGGAGTGGCCAGGCTGCAGGTACAAATGTGGGGTCACCACCATACTGGTCAGATGGAAAGCCAGACCTGGGGAGCCCTCAGGGCCCAGGACAGAGAGGAGCGGGGCGGGGCTGTGCCGCGGGGTGTGCAGGACACTGGGACCCAACGGCGAGGGGCCGGCAGAGCCGGCAGGAGTCACTGCCCAGGAAAGTGCCCGCCGGTCTGGTGGCTGTGAGGTCACTGACGGTGGTGACACTAAGTGTTCCCGTGGAGACCACGTCCAGACTGGGGTGGAAGGAGCATGGGCAGGGGACGCTGGATACCGGGCACACGGACACATTTTGGAAAAGTTTTGCTATGAAGAGAAACAGGAATGTGAGGAGGGCAACCTGGTGTGAGGCTGGTGTCAGGGAGCTTTCGGGGTAACCAGGTGAAACATGTGGGCACGTGTGCGCATGGACGGGAAGAATTCGGAAAGGGAGGGAACCCTGTGATGTGGGGGGGCGGTCATTGGGGAGAGGAGGCGGCAGCTTCGTCCACTGACACTGACCCCAGGCGCTATCCCCAGGCACTGACACCAGGCACTGACCCAGGAACTGACCCCAGGCGCTGTCCCCAGGCGCTGTCCCCAGGCGCTGTCCCAGGCACTGACCCAGGCACTGACCCCAGGTGCTGTCCCCAGGCACTGACCCCAGGCGCTGTCCCAGGCACTGACCCAGGCACTGTCCCAGGCGCTGTCCCCAGGTGCTGTCCCCGCTATCTAGGGAGCACAGCCTTGTGGGGAGAAACAGGAAGGTGAACACCCCCATCACAGCACGGAAACTCCCGCTGGATGAATGAGGGGACGAGGCTGAGGGGATCGGCCAGAGCCACGGGCCACGGTCAGGGCAGGACAGATGGGAACAGAGGGGACTTCAGGACACATGGCGCCAGCGTCAGTGTCGTGTGCGGAGAAGCAGATGGACAGGTGGTGGGGACAGGCGCTCGCTGTGGGATGGCAGCGGTGAGATGTGTCTGTGAGTGGACTTGAAGGGAAGGAGCCTGGCGACCAGCGCTGGCTGCCCCCACGAGACAGAAACCAGGGGGGTGGAGGCAGGATGCTGCCTTCAGAGCACAGGATGACCCTTGTCCCCCAGGGGTCGCCAGCTCCCCGTGGATCAGCAGCTCCACAGCACAGAGGTCCGTCTGTTTTGTTGGCTGCTGTAGTTCCAGTCCTTAAAATGGGGCCTGGCACCCAGGAGACACTCAGCAAATGTTTTGAATGACTGACTGAATGAATGAATGAATGAACAGAGCACTGAGCTGACCAGGGCCTCTCACTACACACACAGAAATACGGACGAAATACATCCACTTAAAAGCCTGCAAAGCTAAGAGCAAAGGAAGGAAGGGAACCCCGATTCCAAAATGAACAGAGAACCCCCAACCAGGACGTAATGGGGAGCTGGTACTGCTGCCGCTCCCAGACACCTGCAGCTTCAGGCTGGGGCCTGGGGCTGTGCCCACAGGGGCTGTGCCACAGGGGGTAGCACCCACGACCTTGCAGCTGCAGGGGTGGGAAGGCTGCACCTGAGACCCCACGTGAAGCCTAGCACCTTGGACAGCTACCTCGCCTGACAATGTGACCAGCATCGAGCCACCTGCTAGCTGGGGACACAGAGGCAACACCAGGACCTGCACCCCGGCCGGCACCCCGGATCTTACTGCCTGAGTGGGGCACAGACTTCCAGCTGACACAGAAGTAGGTCCCCATGGAAGTAAGCGGGTGCAATGGGCTCTTACACAGACCCCCCCCTGCAGTATAACAGCGCCAGTTGAAGGTGAGCACAGGACCCGGCACCAGCCACCCCAGAAACCACCTCCCCAGGGGCGTCGGCAGCTGTCACGGAAAGGAGCTGCAGCCCAACAACAGGAAAGAGCAAAGGTGTGTGGGTAAGACCGTGACACGAGTCAGGACGCAGCCAGCCCCGAGTGCCATTGCAGGCGAGCACAGTCAGGGACAGCCACCGCGTGGCCCTGAGACAGGCGGGGACCTGGGGAGTGGCCTCAGACACACAGGAGGGCAGCAAGGCTGCACCTGTGTGAAGGGACAGCCACGTGAGAGTCCCACCACGCCGCCAGCCCTGTCAGGCGTTACACATCTATTGTCCCAGCACACTGTCACATCCTGGTGAGGTGGCACTGCGGCCAGCCCTCTGATGGCAGAGGGAGCTGGGTGGCAGGGAGAACGGAGCTGCGCGAGGACAGGCACCACTGATACGAGAGACGACAGCCCTGCAGAGCTGAGGAAGGGTCCAGGCTGAGGGCTCATCGTGCTGGGTGGGGCCAGCAGGCGGGAGGGGCCCAGAGACGCAGGAACCTGTCCCTGAGGGCATGGCGGGGACGGGGAGGGCGGGCAGGAGGGTCACAGCTGCCCCACCTCCTGTTCTGCGGGGACGAGCAGTGGCTTCTCAATGGGCCACAGAGGTCTGTCCTGCAGGCTCAGGGTTTCCCGATGACAGTGTCTGCGCTTCTGCAGCCTGAGGAGAAGCTCGGCGGGGACATGTGACAGCCATGCTTGGTTAGAGCAGCAAGTCAGTGGGCAGGACCCCACGGCCAGGTCCTCGCTCTCTGCCCTGAGGCAGCAGGCGCCACACGGAGGCTCCCAAACCAACCCTGGGGGGTCCCCATCACCCACCGCCAGTCCTTCTGCACACACAGCCTGTGTCACCTCCACAGGCACACGTCCCAAACCCCCGGTGTGGCCCAAATGCCCTCCATGAGAGGGGGACGCACAGCCCAGAGCCACGCGCCTGGCCCTGGTCATGTCCTCTGGATTTGCTCCCAGTCACTGGCCACCGACACTCCTGCCGAGGGGACAGCTGCCACTCAGGATCCCGCCCGATGGGGCTGAGGAGGGGGGCGGGCACGGGGTCGCGTCCTGGCTGCGCCTGAGAAGGCAGCCCGGGCTCCTTCCCTCACGGACGTCCATCCACCTGGACACCATGGCCCTTTCTGCCACAGGTCGATCGCCGCACCGTCCATGGGTACAGAGGGTCTTGGGACGCCCCGTCTCCAGCCTCACTGGCTGCTGAAGTTACAGCCCTTTACGCGGGGAGGCACCAGGAGCCTCAACGGCCCAACGCTTCGTTACCCCAGCCTGGGCTGCAGGCAGCGAGAAAAACCAAGAACGGCATGTCTTCCAGCCCCTGCGAGCACTTTCTGACGAGCTCCTATCCGGCAGCAGTTGTTCCCTGTCCTGCACACAGCCCGCGGTGTCACAGGGACACGATGTCTTCAAGGCGGGCTGCCTGCAGGGCCGTCCTTACGCTGCCATCGGAAAGGCCAGGAGCCTCTGCTGTGAGGACAACCATTAAAGACGCACTTGTCCCATGACCCAGGCCTGCAGAGTCGGAGATACCCCCAAACGAGGCACTGATGCCTAAGGGGCTCGGAGGGGGATGGCTGTGCTGTGAGCAAGGAGCCCCCCACAGCTGCCTCTCAGTCCTGGGCATCTGTCATGGTCAGGCCCTGACGCCGACACGGTCTCGTGACACAGCACAGACTGGCCCCGGCCCACGCTGACGCATGGGTGGCAGCAAACACCCCTGAGAAGACTCATGACCCCCCGTCCTGGGGACAAGTCATCGGACCTCCCAGGGTCGGGAAAGCTGGGCTTCTGGGAGGTGATGCCGGCAGCTCTGGCTGCTGACGGGAGTGTGGGGCCAAGTACCTCTTTCTGTCACGAAGACGGCAATGTCTGGACAGGACTGCTGTCCGACAGACTTTACATCATGGAGGCATGCAAGCTCGTATATGCTTGCCCCCAGTATGTCTAAGTAATGAAGATAAAAGTGACCCCCCAGATCGCCAGATGAAAGGATAATTTCCTTGGCTTGCTCACGTCCACAAATTTAACAGACACGAAACACCGAAAAAGCACGTACATGTTTTCTGAAGGTTTCCACGGTTTTCTTACCCAAGACTGATGATATTCCCCAGGGAGACACCAATTCTGATTTCAAAGGCAACCAAAAGCTGTGAAATTACCCCGGCACCGGATCAGCACTGCAGCCAACGGGAGGCCGAGTCTGCACCGACCAGCTGGCCCCCAAGGTCAACACGACCTTGACCACACTCCGCGGTCCCACTGGGCCATGCTCATCAGGCCTCCACGTGGGGCCAGACCGACGCCAGGACGCACCGACGGCTCAGAGGGCAGCCCTCTGTTACTCACCGACCCGACTCCGGCCTGAAGGATTTTCAGTCCCGATGACCTTTCCAGTTTGTCCTTGTTGTCAGCTGTTGGGAAAATGAAGAGGCACAGCGTCAGCTCGGGGAAGACGTCAGAAGACCCTGCCGTTTCCTCTGCAGGAGACGCGGTGGAGTCCCCGCCGGCCCCGACCACTCTGAGCCGTGTGTGTGTGTGTGTGTGTGTGTGTGTGTGTGTGTGTGTGAGAGAGAGAGAGAGAGAGAGAGAGAGAGAGAGCGAGCGAGCAGGCCTGGGTGGGGCACCTGGGCGTGAGGCCCCCCCCTCATAGGGGCTGAGGTCCCTGGGCCAGCACCCCTCCAGCCTCCTCAGAAAACGTCATCGTGGGAAACGTACAGAATTGTCGGTGAGACATTGTAGGCAGCGATGCTCTGTGCATGACAGCCTTATTTCAGAATTGACGCTTATTAATAACACAACCAGTGGGAAACACGCCGCTGTGACCAGCCCGTGATCACGGAAGACCCACCCAGGGCCCATGGAACATGTGCGCTCACCCCGCTTGTGCTGGCTGCTGCTCCCGCTCATTTGTGCCCCCACAGGAAATGCTCTCTAACGGTTTAGCCCCAGAACGAGCCTCACCCTAGTTTGCTTCTGACTCAGGGTGAGGAAGACTTTCAGAGGATGAGTTGCCACCCACATGAGACCAAGAGAAACGACCTCTGGAAGCAGCGAGCTGACGGACCTGAAAGCCCGGTCACCCCAGTGCTAACCCTGAAAAGCTGCCCGCCCCCATGCTGTCGGGGACAAGTTGTGTCACGAAGCAATTGACCTTGGCTTACGGTTCTGTGCCAACGTTCTTGGATGAAGCCCCTGTTATTTTGGAAATGAAAACCAGAAAAAATGGCATTTTATCGCAAGCCCCGAGGGTGAAGGGTGTGTTGCACTGCAATGGAAGCAGACGGAGTGAGCGAGAAAACGTGCTGCTTCCATCTCTCGCTGTGGCCGGCGGCCGTGGGCGGCGGGACGACCTCGGGAGGCACACGTGAGAGCCTGCCCTCTGCACCTGGGGCTTCCCTCATCTCCTAGCAAGACTTTCCCTCTGAACACGTGAACGTTAGTTTCTACACCTGGGTCATCACCCAAGCAGACGCAACCAAAGGAGGAGCAGACACAGCCACCTGGGTTAGGGCTACAGCATCAGAGTCTCAGACACTTAGGTCTGCGGGGGGGGGGGCATGAGAACAGCCGAGTCTGAGGGGAACGCGCTGGGGAGGGACGGACGTGATGGCAGCGTGTGTCCTGAGCACACAGCTGTGTGTCCAATATCCACTGGAAAGGGGAGGCCACCAGATGTGACCACGTCACACCACCTGTGGTCTGGCCGTCACTCAGGGCCTTTCTGTTAAAGCCTAAGAAAGCCCTCCAGGAGCCTGGCGCCTGCTTGGTGGGTGCGATGGACTGGCCAAGGCGGGCGGCCCACCACTGTCAACCTGAGTGAAGGCAGCACGTCTGTGCCGGAGTGACTGACTTTCCAATGTCTGGTCACCTTCCATCCTACAGATTCGTCTCCTAGGCTGTAGGGCATTACCACCCCTCCCGTGGGTAGGCGCCTGGCATTCTCCTCCGAATAACCACACACACACACACACACACACACACACACACACACACACACACGTGCGCGCACGCCTGGCATGGACCCCTGGGACCCGCTCTGTCCCTCCTGCAGACACAGCCGGGCAACCCCACCTCCTGTCTCTGGAAATGCCAGGGCAGGGTCGCCATTGGCCTTGGGGCGAACCCCACGATGACAATGACCTTGCTGAGGCATTCTGGGGGAAAGTGAGCCTTGCTTGTGACAGATATTCTGTGGAGCGTCGGCCCCGAGTTGTTTCTATGGCTGAGGACGGACCCCCAGGCGGTGGGTGGCCACGGAGAAGCTGCTAAGGACGGCGGGAACGTTGCATGAAGCCCCTTTTTATCTTCACGGGAGACAAAAAGGGTTTCCAAACACACACAAAAAGCCCTTTAAAATTAAATCCACTAGATGAAGGATATGCAAATTACCTAGAGAAGCAGAGCCCTACAATGTTCTCAAAATTCTGCAGTAGCCCATTTAATTAGGATTTTAATTTATCAGAATAATTCTTTGCACTTGACAATTTATGCAGCATTCCATGTAATTAAGCACGTAGCTACCCTGGAACGGTTCTGCCTCTCTCTTTAGCCCCATTATTTTAACATGAAAGGATGTGCAGAAGTCTCCTCTGTGATCTAAATTGTGACGGGGACAACTTAATGGCCGAGCTCCACAGGAAGCAGGGGGACGGAGCCGAGAGGCGCGAGGTGGGCTCCGGGCACCTGCATCGCCCCGGACATCAGGCAGCTTACGGCCTGCGCGGCGGAGCCCGTCCCTTGCGAAAGCTGGAACCACGCTCCTGGGTACCGGTCTGCGTCCGTACCTGTTTCCATCACAACAACGTGATAACAATCCACTCTGCACATTTTTACATTTGTGGAGGGGAGCTCATGAACTGTCATGGTCATTGGGGGACTTTGGCTGACCCACTGGCGCCCTGCACCTGGGAGTCGGCCTCACTGACGCTGGCACGGCCCCTGGTTGACACTCCCTGTGCCACTGTGGAGGTGGCTCACCGCGCACTCTCCTTAGAGACACTGTCACCCTGCTTGGAACCTGCCAGTGCCGGGCAGGGAAGGGAGCAGAGCTGAAGAAACTGGGCCCTGACACACCAGGTGCCCAGCCACCACCTGGGGGACGTTTCAGAGGGAGCCTGGGTGAGCTGCCCTAGGTGGGGGGTGGGGGGGCAGCCCCGCTGCTGAGAGCCAATGCAGCTCCCGGAAGCTCATCTCTCCTGTAAAGGAATTTAATGGGCCACTTTGGTTCACTCTTCCACGTGAGCATTTTCTTAGAAACTGCGCCAGGGCCACAGGTAAGGCCCCCAGGCCAACTGTTATCCCACCTCACGGCAGCACCTGGAGACCGGTCACAGCCCAGGCCTCTCTCTGGCAGTGGACTCTCCCAAGCTGTGTCCCCTGATGCCACCAGGTGTCCCGTGACAAAGGCACGAAGGGCCTGGAACCGAGGAGTCTGACATGTCCCAGAGGAGCCGCTGTCACTTTGGGAAGCTGACGTATTTGAATTTATTTCTAGCATCCTATGTTGTGTTTATGTTTGAAAGTTATATACTCTATTTCTAGTTTTTAGTGGTTTTCCAGGGATTGTAATACCCACAAGTAACAAACTCTCATATTAATAAATATCTATTAACTTTCTTAACATCTACAAAGACCTAGAACACTTGAACTCCAATCACCTTCATCTCAATTTAAATGCTATCCTTTTCAGATTCAGTATTATAACTCCATCTTGTTTTTAGCCTCACAAGGCATTATTATTTTATACAATATAGTTTGTTTAAATGCGTTCCCATATTTGCTGTTTTCTTTGCTCATTATTCCTTCTGCTTCTCGTATCTTCCTTATGGGGTTATTATGATTTTTTTGTCTGCAAATCTTTTAGAATTAACTTAAATGAGGGTCTGTTGGTGACAAACTCAATTTTTTTTGAGAGTATCTTTATTAAACTCTTATTCTGATTGTTCTAAGTCCTCATTTTTGAAAGACATTTTCTCTTAGTACAACCCTAGGTCGACAACTCTTTCCCCCTCAGTAATACGGAGACATTTTTCTCCAGTCTCTGGTTTCACTTTGGCTGCTGTAAAATCAGCCATGAGTCAAATTCTCATCCCATTTTGCAATAGCTTGTCTTTCCTGCTTGGCTGCGTTTAGGGTTCTCTTGTTGTCTTGGGTGCCCTGTAGCTGCCCTGTTATGAATCCAGATGCAGAACTGTTTTTACTCTGATTGACTCCTTGAATCTGAGGTTTGGTGTCCTCCATCAGTGACAGAAAATTCTCAGCCGCTGTCTTCAGGTATCACCTCTTGATCACTCTCTCCTCCCTTATGCAACTCCTATTAAATATATATACATAAGACTTTCTCACCTTGTCTTCTAGGACCACTTACCTTTTTTTTTCCCCCCTTACCTTTTTTAAAATTCATACTTTCCATTTCTTTACCTCTCTCTAGGCTGCATTCTGGATAATTTCTTCAGTTCTATCTTTTAGTTCACTGATTCCTTCTTCAATTATATCTAATCTGTCCTTAAACTTACCTCTTGAGTTTAAAATTTCTATTATATCTTTCATTTAAAAATTCTATTGTTTTAAATTTTGGGGGGTCATTTTTAAGGCTGTTAATCTTTAGGTCATATATTACTTCCCTCTTGTATTCCTTAGAATACATAAAAATACTTAAGCTTATGTTCTAGGTGTATTTGTCACAGTATCTGAGGTGACCCTAGCTGAATGGGGCAGGTCCCCTTGCCCCGCGAGGCCCGCCCGGGTCTTGCCTTCCGCCTGCCACACACAGTCTGTCCGGTCGTGAATGCTGAAGGTCAAGTTCACCCTGTTTTGGAAAATACCCTCACGATAAAGGTCAACATCAGTGTCCACTTACAGGTTTCCGGTTTCACTCAGTTTGGGATCTTCAAGAATTTCAATGTTGCCAGACACGTGCTGTGTTTAAAACTGTATCTCTGTATCATCATATTCTGGCATTTGGGGCTATTTTCTGAATGAGGGCTGAGTCCCGGTATCGAGTCCTCCCAGGGCCCTGATGGAGACACGGAAGCCCCCGCAGTCCTGAGACTCTCCACCCGCTCAGCCACGGCCCGGTGCTCATGGATGAACAGATAAAGGCAGGTTTGAGCAGAGCCCACGGCAAGCTGGCTGTGACGCGCGCCGCACATCAAGTGACCTGGCACTTTCA